AAACGGCCCTTTGAAACTAGTCAGTTTAGGTAGGTAAAAGTATAGATACGACATCACTGCTATTGCGTAGACTATGCTATTTGAGTTTATTTGAGCTATTGCATATTGGACCTGTTCAGTAAAAGCGGCCAAACCACTCAGATGCCTGGATGCAAAGAGCCAAATTATGCAAAGATATAGAGAGGGGACAGTTGAAAATAGGCTAATTATCCTTATGGCAATTCCAAAGTTATGTCAAAGGGTGTGAGGAATAGTAGTAAGCTTCTATCTTTAAAGGAAACTTAGTTATTTGGCAGGTTTTATAAAAGTTTGTCGGTCAAGAAAATTTAAATAAATTTTAGAGTATTTGCTATTTCCTAACTTCTTTTAATCATTTCATTCACGCCTTCCCAACAACCATCCCAACTTGTCCTAGCGTACTCTCCTTTCATCTGTTCAGCCTCCCCTCCTTCGTCACGTATTCTTTACCACTTTATTCATTTTATCCAGCTAAGTCAAGCTCATACTCTATTTTAGCCCATGCTTTTCTCGTTTATCCCCCTCTTCGCCCTTAATGCATGCATACAAACTCACATAAAACCCGACCTACTCTTGACTCCCAGGGACCTTGGTCTGTCACAGCATGGGACCGAGGTCGTGCTAGAAGGAATCAAGGAACAGATGGACTACGTGGCCAGCAAGATTGGAGGCACCGCGACTTTCAACAAGATGGTCAATCTGCTGAGCGTAGTACAGGTCATTGAACAGAGTGAAGAAGCAAGTCTCAAGGTGATTACTGTCCCACATGCGAAAGCACACTCATGACTCTAGATATATGTTGCTTAGGCTGTTTTACCCTTTTCAGCCATACACGGATTGTATCGGTACTTCTCTGGTGAGCAAAATTAGCAGCGTAGTGTCTGATATTTACAAAGTTTTGAATAGATTTCATTGTGTTCAACGTTTTGTCTCACACTGGAAACATAGCGTTTTCAGTAAGTGAAACATAGAGACTAATTTTCCGAATATATGAAGAAAAACTGGCCACAATAATTTTTCAAATAACACCTTGTATCCTTTGCATAATGAATTTCATTGCTCGTCGCAATAATTGATCTTTTATTCCCTAACGGAATCTCGACATAAAGTGGGAGAAAATTCTGATATTGGATTGGTTGAGAGATAAGACTAATTGAAAGATGCAATTTGGATATTGGAGGATAACAATTCATGTAAGATATAGCCAAGAAGGCTCACCTTTTCCTCTGAAACACGTTGTGGCCCTCCGCCAGGAGTTAGGCTCATTTGTCGGTATTTGTCTCCGAAACAGGTCCCTTGAAGTCAAACCTCATCACAAATGTGGCACATACAGTGTCATCGTAACTTCAGACAAACTCGGCAAATGATGATTATCTGACTAAGGGAATTGTATACGTTTTGATTGACTTTTTATCACACTTATTACTGCTCTGTCGACGAAAGGTTGCAGAGAAGGCTTGATTATTGCATAGAATTTCCCACCCTTATCTACCACGAAAAGTCTGTCTTCTCCAGACTGTACTTATTATCAAAACAAGCGGACTTAAAAGGTTGACTTGAGAATTGATGCCAATGCTTTGCCGCTTAAGTTTTGTGATTCAGGCTCCATTAAGTTATAAGACAAACCTTAAGCTTAAGGCCTAGTATGCCTATACACCTCATATCATTAACTGGGGAAATTCGCAGCGATAGTCACCACTTTC